TTTGAAAGGCTGCCTGACGGCGTACAGTGAGCTCCACCATCGTGCCCAACTGCTTGCGTGATTACATATGCCTCACGGTCGTAAACGTGGTCATCAAATTTTGTTACTATTTGTTGCAGCTGCTCAACGAGTTTGGTGAGGCACGTAATTTCAGTATCTTTCGACATAATAACACTATCGAATCCAATAAAAATGGTGGCAAACTGCTCTCCCACCATCATCTCCATGGATGCAACTCGTCCATCCAATTCGCGCACTCTTTCTGATTTCGCATAAATTTTGCTATCCAACTCAGTAATTTTTTTCAGTGCTGCTGCTAATTGTTCTTCTGGACCCTCTGGGTTATTTCGCATAGGATCACCTTCCTACATGCTCGACTGGTCCAATAGATCTGGGAATAAGTGTGGCCATACTTCTTTGCATGCCGCTACTGTTGGTCCCTCCTTTTTCCCCCTTGCGGTGTCCCAATGAGTTGTTTTGCATTGCCGTCAACTATGTTACACTCAACCTCACCACCATAGGGTGAATCCGGTTGCCAACAATTCAGACTCGGTTCTATATCTTCCACAATATCCAAATCCACACCAGCTCAACGCTTAACACTTACGCTCACCGGGTTAACATCCAACACTTCCCTCTCAAACGGGTTCTGCCCTAAGCCCGACGACGTGCCATTCACAAAATAGCGCTCGATGATCGTTTCATTAAGTTTACAACAGTTCACCTGCATTAAATTGCTAGTGTTAAAACATTAGGCCACCGGGTGTAAGTGATACTAACACCACAGCCGAGTTACGATTGTTCATACCTGCATGGAACCTTCGGCCCCTAAGTCGACCGCTTTCAGCTTTGTTATTAGCGTCCCAATGTTTCATTTGCAAAATCTTGGGGATACATTACATTGCTCTGACGCAACAATTGACGTGTGCTTGCAAATAAGGAACTGCATACCAAAACCAAAAACATAACAATGTCAACATCCAAGCACAATAGATTAACTTCCTTTTGCATGCAACAATTAAATTCAGCATTGGGCCAGCCTTACGTACCAACAACGCGACTACCCAACCAGTCAATGTTTCAAGCCTACTGTGCAACTCATTCAGCGAGCAAATTAATGCGTTCCGGATGCTTGTAGTCCAATCATACGCACGTAAAGTCTCTAATTTATCAATCACACGCACGAAAGCCCACCTAATCGATTAGCCCGTTATAGCAAAAAACAATTTCGCACATATGTATAAGCACAATAACTTTGTCACATCCTCCTCATCACATTCCGTATCCCCTTGTAGCGCTACAACCAAAAAATCCTTTATGACTTTGGACGATATTCGACCAACGTTTTGACTGCGTCATTGTATAAAATCTGATGGTGCTTTCACCCTGTGCGTTAAATCTAACTTCTCTTTGCCACATTGAACGCCAAAGATCATCCGTATGTCACTATTTCTCAAAGGTAGGGCACTCCCCCCAATGTAAAACTTCTCATCGACAAGGTTGTATGTTTGAATAATCTTGCACACTGTCGCATTACACTTTTTGTACACTTTTAGATCCAAATTATGAACCCGAATTGCCTCAATCATAAGCCAAAAAGGTGTCTTCTGTAACTGTCAGCTATGACCCTTATCCAATTGTAACTCAATCACAGTCTTGATCACCCTAGCCACATTGGATCAGTACATCAGGCGCGATGGGTCAACCACTGTTTTCCTAACACTGCCAAATGTTTTATTCTTCTTGAAAACAAGCTGGGTTTGTCTCTTTGGGGATAATCTGATTGACGTTTGCCCAGGTGACCGTTGTTGGGTTGTTCTAACTGGAGGACTACGCTTCGTGCTACGCCGTGCCGCACTGCCTGCCAAATCCAACAAATAATATTAGTTACCATCTTCGCATACATTTCATACAGCTATGAGAATATAACATTGGCAAAATGTACCCAATCAAAACATACAATCAGTTGTGTCGCTAACATAAATACTTGCTTGATGGGTTATAATGCTACGGTCCATATCATACAAGTACGATAAGTCAAATACCAACATACAATACAAGTGGAAACATATACGCATTTCACCACGTAACGAATTAGAAGTTACATACATTCAATGTCGCTGCACAAATGTAGGTTGGGGAAATGGTATTTCCCCTAAACGTCCTCTTGTTGAGTATCTCAAAACAATAAAATGCAGACTATTTACGACCAGCACACTCGTGTCGTTCTTGCATCCAAGACGTTGGTAGTGTGTTCTTATAGGTTCAGCTATCAGCCTTACAATTACATCGCAACTTAAAAAATACACAAAAACCAAAGCCCACACTATGTGATAAATGGACACCACATATCAAGCAGCAATTGTCAAGACAATAATTAATCCGAGAAAATGTACAGAGCCACCATTACACAATTAATTCAATCCGTCACAACAACCCATTCCAACAACTCAAGCCCAACGACAAGGGGGGTACTCAAATGGGCTCTAAACCAAGGACGTAATACAGTTCAACCAATAACATGTATCTTAGGTGTCAAACCTATTTGCAACACTATTGAAACATTTTTTTTCATAATTATCGTATGTTAATAATGTTATATTTCTTACCACATCTAACACACGTACCACCTTCCCAACAATTCACATTACCCACAGCAAACCAGCCCACTAAAAACACATTTCTATTGTGTGCCAACTTTTAACAATGAGCACACCCACAACAATATTGGAACTATAGACACCCATGTCAACGCATTACAACAAATTTTTGTACATTAAGGTTACATACATGGTAATGCTTGAATGTGTAATGTGTTATTAGTGCAAAAACAAAAACAACCCAACCTGATGTTCCACAACAAGCACTACCTCCACCCATTCCAAATGTACAAAAATTTACGACCATGTATGTGAACCTCAATCGGTGGAGGAGCTCAAAACGTTATTGGGACAACCTAGCAATTTCCACATCACCAAAAAAGCCCCATATATCCCTCCCATTTGGTTGCCTCTCGCCAAAAATGTGTACAAATACGCCATTTAACATTACATTATGACTTACATGTTTAAAAAAAACAGGGGCCTAATTGGTTCATAAAATCCTAACTTGGGACTAATTGGTCCACATTACGCTGGGGCTCATGGTTTAACAATTCCAAAAACCCACATTACCCACAGCAATCCAGCCCACAAAACCCACATTTGCGTTGTTAGTAACCATTCCACTCTAAACACACCCACAATAACATTGGGACCACAGACACCCCTGTCAATACATCACAACAACACAACATATCCTGTACCACCTTCCCAACATTAGGGCCTATTATCAAATAATACTCACCCCAATCGATGTATGTTGAATTCAAACACTAACCCCAACCCGTATTCAAATGTAAAAAAAACTGTAATACCAAGCATGTAACATCAACATAATATGAAAACTACAAAACAGCATCCACAAACATATACCTGACACCATGCATTAACAAACACAACCGGCGATCAATGTGGACGATCGTATGAGAAATGTTATTCCATACACACACCTAGCGTTGCTCCACACGTCAAAGGATGCAGTGTTCGCTATGGAAGGGACGATTGGTACCTCCCAAATGGTATCTCGCAATTTTAGGGTTTCCTAACAAATGTGAATGTTACCTTTGATTGCACAATTGGTCCTCCAACATTACCAAACTCAACAAACATGAGCATTACAACAGGCTCCAACCTTCCATAATCAACCCTTCCATTTCAATCAGTGCGGGAAACCCAAAACCCTATTAGGACAATCCAGTAATTTCCACATCACCAAAAAGCCCTATATACCCCCTCTCATTTGGTTGCCACCCTGTCAAAATGTGTACAAATAGGTCATTAACATTGCATTGGGACTTATGGGTTTGACAGAAAAAACACAGTATTACTTGGTGCACAATTTCCTAACTTGGGATTTATTAGTGCTTTACCCCTTTTTAATATAGTCACCATATTTGGTTGAGTTTTCAAATTTTATTTCCTATAAAAACTAAAAATTAGTTTAGTCAAAAAAAAAATAATAATAAATAAATAGAGTAAAGAATTATTATTTTCATATGATTTTCTTGTTTAGAGCAAAAATAACTTTTAAAATAAATATATAGTTTTTAGTATTTGTTTTTGTCAAATCAATTTATTTTATATTTTTGGAGCATAAATACGTTCTTTTCTCCCCATGTTTTTTTAATACATATATTTAGTCTTCGTTTGGCATTAGTTTTTTTAGTTATTTTTTTGTGTTGAGACTTTTTTAGTTTAGTTTTTTTAGCCTCGTTTGATTTGGCTTTTTTTTACTTTGATTAGAGAAAAAGTGTAATGATTATAGTTTATATATGACATTTTGTAGTGTTTTGAAAAGTTGATAAAAAATTAATTTTTTGATTTCCTTGTGAGTTTTTTTGTGTAAAAAAGTAGAGAGGTGATATGACCCAAAAAAGTTAAAAAAATTAAAAAGCTAACTTTTTACCAGCTTCCTAAGCCCGTTTGGTAGAGCTGTGGAAAAGTGATTATAACTTATAGCCTAACAACTTATAACTTATAACTGTGAACATAAGCTGATTTTTGACTTATAAATTAAGTTTATCCTCCCCCACTCAAAGAATAAGTTGATTTTTGACTTACAAAAAGTTATAAGCTATATTGTTAAGCTGATCCAAATACATTAAAATAGCTTAAATTAAATTAAAAACTTAAATAAACTGAAAATAAGTCTTACCAAACAGGGACTTCGTCTTATTGACTTATGTGGTTAATTTTATGTTTTGTATTTTTTTTGATAAATTGTTGTTAAAAACAGGGTAAATAAGGGGCAGTAGAGTAAAAGGCCGGCATTGATTAATATATTAATACCAAAATTCAAAAATTGTTGGTTGAGAAAACAAGAATCAAATACTAGATCGTTGTGTTTAAAAAAAAAATACTAGATTATTAACTATATATATATGACTTTATATAGAGAGAGAGAGAGAGAGAGAGAGTATGAAGATGAGCGTGAATCCAGAAATTTGCTGAGATGCGGGGGATGGTGGGGCGGATGGTGGAGCTCCGTGGGCCCCTCTCTTCCTTCTGACGTATTCTCTCTCTCTCTTCCCAATTCCTTTTTCCGTAACCACCACCACGACCACCACCACTAGCATCACCGATCTTCAATAACTTGGCACCTTTCGATTCCCTATTTTTCGTTTCAGTTACGCTTTCCTTATGCTTCTCCTTCTCAAATCTCTCCATTTTTCATTCATTTTCACTCAGATCGCCCCCATGGATTCTCCAAAATGATCCTTCATTTTCAGGTATTTTTCTCTGATTTATCTCTTCTACGCGTTTATGTATTCTTTCTATGATTCATAACTCTGCACTGTGGGATTTACAGGATCTGACACAGTCAATCCATTCTATTTTCAGGTAATTTTTGCATATATATATATATATACATATATTCAAGTTTGTTTTTTTTTTTTTTTTTGCAAATTGTAGTTTATGTTGATGAGTTCTGTCTGATCTAGGTCTAGAAATTGATCGATTCTTAGGTGTAGTTTTGGTTTGTGAGGCTGTTAAACATGAATTCGTTGGTTAAAGACCAAAGTAGATTTTTCCGGTAACAATACCTAAATCAATACCTAACATGTGTGTGTGTGAATGTGATGAAGAAGTTCACTAAAGATCAAAACAAGAAAGCAAATCTGAAAGAACAATTCACAATCATCAAAGATTGTCCAATGTACTGAGTGAGTCTCATAGAGCCTGAACTTCTGATAATAGGTTAGGGAGTGTCTTATGAGACTGATGCATTCATTAATTCATAACCAGATGCATTGATCTTTTTTGTCATTTCATTTGTAATTTTCTTTATATTTATCAGATCACATGCATATGCATTGATCATCTCATTTCTACAACTTTTTCTTTTTTTTTTTTTTAATTTTTTAGTTGCATCACTTCACACGATTGTACTAATGTTGTTTTTAGTTGTGACTGTTCATTTATTACTTTTGATTTGAGTTTGGAGAGGAAACTAATTACTTGTTTTCTTTTCCTAATTTTTTTGTTGTTTCTTTTAATCTCACTGCATAGGACAGTGTTTATTTTTTATTTTTTTGATAACCGGAACCGTGTTGTAGGCCCTTTGGACCCATCCCAGGAGAGTAAACCCAAGGATCAAGCAACACCCCGTAATCACATTATCCGGGCGAACGGGAGGGTCTGGCAAGACTCGAACCTGAGTTAGGCATGTGGGGAGCATACCCACTGACCTACTAGGCTTGCCCCTCGGCGTATGTGTAGGACAGTGTTTAAGATGACGTTTCAGACTTCAGAGGTTTTTTTGACCTCCAGTTCCGTGGCATACCAAGTCCGCCTTCTTTTTTTCAGATGCATATATTTTGGCAGAAAATTCATTTCCATTTAATAGATTCAGAACTTATGTGAAGAAGCTGGTTAGTATGTCGGGTTTGCATGCATGCCTGTATGCACATGCACGTGCACCTGCACGCACACGTAGGTTTATGTGTCTGCATGTGCATGTAGAATACGATACGGACATTTTAAAGAATATACACATGCTAATTCAAGTTAATAGATACAATATACACATGCTAATTCAAGTTAATAGATACAACAATATATGGCAATTTAAATTCTCTCCCATAAATGCTATATGAAATTAGTAAAACAACTAATTTGGGCACCAATTCACATGTTATATATCAACAAGAAGTATAAAGCTACATCAGTGTATTGCATTTTGGCTGTGAAATATTTCATCTTTAAGTTGTGATGATGCTTATGGAAGATATGTGGAATGCTTCCTTTGAAGCAATATTCACATAACACTAAGAAATTTTAGTTTGTACCATACATTTCATCACACTTACAGAAGTTTTTACTCTTTTCATTAAGGTTCTAATTTGTTAGAAATTGTTTCCCTCTATGATGAAAGTCTTAGTCTTTTTTATTGCCTTCGACTGCAAAGTAGTCTTATTTGTTACCCATATTTGATACAAATTAACAATGCATCATATCTCTTCAATAATGAGCCGGTGGTTCCTCAATCAGGAATAGAGAATTGAAAAGGATTAAAGGTACCTAAATCTATAACTAACAAGTTTGATCAAATGTAGTTTTCTAATGCCGTGGCAAGGGAAAGAAGAAAACCCTTTCTAATCTGAATAATGCATTTAGAGACATTCCTGGAAGACCAAAATGATGTATATGGTATTGTATTTGTATGTGCCAACTTTGATGCATAAAGAAAAAATTTGAAGTTTCAAATTTGAACTTTTAGGCTTTTACATAGAATTTGTTGGTGCATGGGTTCACTTGTCAATTTGAACTTATACGTTGATGTTTAATCACACATCTCGTGACGTGTCACCTTGCCATGTAAATCGGCCGAGGTTGACATACATGGTGCCTTAGCCTTGAATTGAGGCACTTCTCCCGGAAGCTAAGCACACTCGGTCAAGTTAGATCTCCAGCCGAGCATGCCCTCTGATCACTGTTATTCTGACGCGATTCTATTTGGACTGCATTAATTGCATATGGTGTTACATAGGAATTAATATCTTTTGAATTGGCAGCTTGTGATATTTTATAATTTGACTGCTGCTCATCTTTTACAGGTGAACTGTTGCTGGTCATTCTATTTGCACTTTTCAGAAGCAATAAGATTTGCAGCCAATTTGATTTCAATCTTTGAAAATGTTGGGAGGAAACAACAACAATACTGTGCTTCCTGTTTTTATTGATGAGAATCATTTGCAATATCATGCTAATGCATCGAATCAGCTACAGTTATTTGGAAACTGTGAGTTCTGTTTTCATTCAGGTTGTGTTTGTGTATATATTTATCCTTGGTATTTGAATGCCCTTAACTTGGTGGATGTATCCACTTACTAGTTGTTTTTCTTGTATGTTATTTCACTAGGATGTCTATTTGGTTGGCCTTTTATCTTTTGGGTTTTGCTAGTCTGCTCTAATGGATGTATTGTTTTGCTCCTGCTGGTTATTGATTAATAGAAACCTGATATGCTTGGACCAATTGATAGTTGCTTCTGTTTAGTGACAATAGTGCATCCTCCCTACTTGAACTGTACATATGAGGACACTCGCTCATCCAAACTGCTGGTTGGGTACTGAAATGGTGAAATTTACTATTATAGGACTCTATTCTTGGAATTGAAATGATACGTTTTTAAGTGTTTGCTTTCTGGCTTAGAAACTCTTTAGGCAGGCTATTGCATTGGACATTTGCTAAATAGGCACGACCCTGTTGAGAAGAATTTATCCTCTTCCCATGTGCATACAACTTAGTTGATCATTCCTTTAAGTTGGGTCACTGTGCTTCACTTATATTTAATTGAACTTTGAATTATTCTGGTTGCGTGGAAATTATTTTGTAATCCTCTAATTAAAGGGAAAAAAGAAGGTTATGGCTACATCTTTAGGGTTCTGGACTGAGCTTTGTAATTCTTTGGGCAAATTACATATACCCCTCTCAAGGTTTGGCTAAATTACAAATACCCCTGAGGTTTGAGAAATTACAAATTTCTCCCTGAATACTATATTTGCATAACAAATTAGCGGGTAATTTGTTATGAAATTTAAACCTCAGGGGGCAAATTGTTATGAAAATACAAACCTTATGGGGCGGGATGTAATTTCCGAAACCTCAGGGGTATCTGTAATTTAGCCAAACCTCAAGGGAGGTATATGTAATTTGCCCTAATTCTTTTTGTTTTTTATGTTTTTTGTGGATGGGGGTTGAAGACATGGGCTCGTTTGGTTTGATTTTCTGAAAAAAATTTGGGAAATTTTCTCTACAAACAAGTTTTCAAAAATAATTAAACCAAACAAATTTTCCCAAAAAAATTTCTCAAAACTTGTAAACCAAACAAGTTTTCCAAACAAATCTCTCTCTCACACATATCAAATCAATCACTTTTTCCAAAACTCTATCTCAAAATAATTTTCCAAAACATCTTTTAAAAAAAACCAAACCAAACATGTTTTCGTACTTTTTATCTCTAAAACACATCTCTCAAACACAAACCAAACATATGTTTTTACTTTGTTCAATCTTGTTACCTTTCTTATAGTTGGACTGACTTTTATGTAACCACTGCGCAATTTTTGCTACAGTGCCAGTTGGATGTAATGTTGATCCAGTAAATTATTTTGGGAACGAGCATAACCCCCCTATGCTCCAGCCTAATAAACAAAGCAGGGGAGCAGAAAATATCTCAAGGCAACAAAAGCGTCAGATTTCTCTGAATTACAATTTGTTTCATGATGAAGCTGATCAAGCGGCAAGCATACCAAACCAAAACCCTGTATCAACTGGGTTAAGGCTGTCGTATGATGATGATGAACGCAACTCCTCTGTTACTTCTGCAAGTGGAAGTATGACAGCAGCACCACCAATCATTTTGTCTCTTGGTGACAACATTAGGACTGAACTTGATCGGCAGAAAGAAGAATTTGATCAGTATATTAAAATTCAGGTATATTGAATCATAATGAGACCAATCATTGATATGGTGTCCATAATGAAGTCTTTGGTTTGGTAGCTGTTGTGCCAATTTTCTTTTAGGTTTAACAAATTTTAAATCACAGATGACCAACTCTGATCTTGCGAAAGAGTTCATAATTAATATTCCTACTAGAGTTTCAGTGAAGAAACAAATTATAAAATGTTAAATCTCTATATGGAAAAACTATTGTTCGTTAATGTTGAACCGTGGGATCTTCTAGGGTTTCTTATTTTGTTCTCAGAACACCATATTATGATTATTTGCTCTACAATAGTGTGTAAGCTTCATTGCAGATAATTTATGATGATTTTCGTCTTGCTCTTTGCAACTGAACATATATAACCGTGTAAACAGGAAGAAAATCTGGCAAAGGGGGTAAGGGACATGAAGCAGAGACACATGGCATCATTCCTGACTGCTATAGAGAAAGGTATGAGTCAGAAGTTACATGAGAAAGATCTCGAGATGGAGAACATAAACCGTAAGAACAAAGAACTCGTTGAGAGAATTAAGCAGGTGGCAATCGAAGCCCAGAACTGGCACTACCGAGCAAAGTACAATGAATCGGTGGTTAATGTCCTGAAGAACAACCTCCAGCAGGCAATTTCACAGGGTCCTGATCAAGGCAAGGAAGGATTTGGAGACAGTGAAATTGATGATGCTGCCTCTTATATCGATCCAAACAAATACCTCGGTGTTCCAGGTGGGTCAGGGAAGTCTGCTTCCTTGATGTGCAGAGCATGCAGGTCTAAAGAGGTAACCATCTTGTTGATGCCTTGTAGGCACTTGTGTTTGTGTAAGGATTGTGATGGGTTAATTGGTGTTTGCCCTATATGCCAATTGGTGAAAACTGCCAGTGTCCCTGTGTACTTGTCGTAAATTAGTGATCAAATAACTTAAAATTGAAAATATTCTCCACAATCTGTGTTTTATTGAAGTTATCGTCTCTCTCTTTGAACTTTTGGGAATGTATGTGGATGACTAATTATATTCATGAAATCAAATGGAATTGAGTTACCGCTGCTGCTCTGGTGTACAACGAGTCCGCATTCTGTTTTGCTTCCTTTCAAGCTGTTTTGTTGAAATGTCTGTAAAACAGTTTGATCTTAAAATACCTTTATGATTCAGGTTATTTATTTGGATATATGGGATCTCATGGAAATGAGTTCAGTTTTTTGTTGAAAAATGATTTACAATGATGTGACATTGGTATTCTTGTAATTATAAACCATAATATGCAATATAAAATAAGAATACTTGTCTATATGATACACAACTATACAATGTAGAATATGCAATGAAACAATGAGAACTTAAAACAAAACTAGAAATCAAAATTACATCATCAAAAGATTAATGGGCTAATCTGCAGGTAAAAATGACACACATTGTCCATATGCAAATCTTCTGAACCAAGGCGGCTGGCAGACATTAAGGTAAACGGAAGCCAAGTAATAAGAAAGCAAAAGACCAGCTTGTTAATTATAGTTGTTTTCCAATGTCAAAGTTCATTAGATTCTTCGTCTGTTGTCCACTCGTGTTTTCTTGGAAGGCGCAGCTTCAAAATGCTCGACATTTGATTGAATCTAAAACAAGGGAAGGTAAACATAATGTTGAATTAAAGCCCATTTTAAAACACTCTTGAAGAGAATCATGCAGTACGCATTAACCGTACCTTATTAAGCTTCTCTCTGACCAACTGAACCGTTTGATTCATTGATTGAGATGGAAAATAATCCTGACATTCGGAAATAGCAAAAAAGCATTTGTTGGCCCAGAAAAACTGAAAACATATGTAAGTAGTAAATTTGAAATTTATGAATGAGGAGGTCAAACAACCATTTGGTCTTTCTTTTTTTTTATTTTTGCACTACCAACTCATTAGAGCTGGCATTAGTACTATCATTTTAGAGCACTGAATCAGTGCTGAAGCATAAAAAAAAATACTTCAAACCACTAATGACGTGGCACCATGTGGACTGATGTGATAGTTTGGTTTTTTTATTTTTATTTTATTTTATATTTTTGCACTGCCAGCTCATTAGAGCTAGCATTAGTGCTATCATTTTAGAGCACTGAATCAGTGCTGTTTGGGGCAAATTCACTAGAAGAATTGAACAATCGCCAATAAAAGAAAGCATGTTTTTTTTATACGACACTGCTACTGAAATAAGCCTCAAAGCCAACATCATTTGGAGTGCTTCTACATTTTGAGATTCTGCTGGCTAACAAGTGATAAACTACACCAGGACGATAAGGCTATATTTTTTTTCTGCCACAATGAATGTATGAGATGCAAGATATGAATCTATGCTACAGATAACTTTTGGAAAATGAGGGGGCATGGTTTTTGGAATCAAATCCTGTGGAAAATGTCATGATTTTTGGAACAGAGTGAGTTAATGAGAAATGTCTAGCTATTTACCAATCTTGTCATTTTGAAGTTTTTTTTTTAACAACTCAAATACTTAAATAGTGCTGTCGTATGACAAAGTTAGCATATATATTTGAAACTGCTAGTCATCACAAAGTACATCGAAATTACAACTTTGATTCATTTAATCCAAAGGGCCCGTGTAAGTGAGAATATATATATATATATATATGATGGAAAAATATCTACTTTAAAAAAATTGGGCAAGTGCTCCGATTCAATTCATGTAAGTAGTCAGGTGGAAATTAAACAGGCAGATGTCATTTTATAAAATAGTAGCAAACCTTGTCAGAAGTAACCCTTGTCATTGAAGAATCTTTACTGTGAGAAATATGTTGCGACTCTCCAGTATCCCTACGGTAAGAACAAAAAAACTCATCTCTTATATTACAATAAAAGAGCGTCCACGGAGCTTTATTGACAGAACAACTGCAAATTTGAACTGAATCGCATACTATACCTTTGGCTAGAGTTTATCAATTGGGAAGTGCTGCGTGTTTCTGGTGGAGATGCAACCACGGATGGTTTGGATCTTCCAGCTGAAATCATTGAGATATTGGCAAAACAACCAAAAAAAAAAAAAACGCTTAGTTTTTCAATTCAACAACTGAAGAACATTTTCCTCTTATCTACCTGAAAATATCATAAATCAGGATTATGCAAATATCAAGAAAAGAACCTTACGATTCAAGCGTGCTAGAACTTCCTTTCTACGGCCTTCTAATTTATCCTTGGTGTCTGACAGGCTCTCGTAATGAGGTGCATATGAGACCTGAAGTCGATTCCCAAGGAAAACAAACTCATCCAATTTCCTTTTTGCAAACCTATAACCAGAAAGAATTAAAGCTTCAAACACCACTAAATTCGAATAAGAATAAGTATTAACATCAATATATTAGACACAAAATTTAGAGGTTTATACACAGATGACACATCAAAGAATTTTAAGCACCTTGCATTGTTGACTACATAAAATTTGATCCAGTAAACATCGGTGAATGGTTCGCAGTCTTCATCATCCTTTGGTTTGCATCTGAAGAAGGCAAATAAATGAATCAATGTAATGTAACCCACCTCTCAAATAACACTAATATAACAATTATGTCAAATAAGTATAAGGTTTGAACACAACTTTCCAAAGCACTAGAAGTGCAATATTCTGAAAATGATGATAACTCCTCTCAACTAAAGAAATTGCAAATAAATTCTGACAGAGTCAAGAAGACAAATATACAGAAATGAATCACATTATTTTTTTTGATAACCTAGTATCTTCTGGCCCATTGGACCGCCTAATCCAGAGGACAAATCACACCCTCCACTACCAGAGGACCTGATTAAAGTCGGGGCAAAGTCCTGAGACCTTGGAGAGAGCACAGCCTAGGTCAACCCTTGGATTTCATAAATGAATCACATTATATCACCCCAATTCTACAATTCTGGCATAATCAAAAGGAAAATAATAATAATAATTTGATTTAAAAGCAAGAGCAAGGAAACATGTGTGTAATATATGTCAAATCGAATCCTGAATCATTTTACTAAAATAGTAAATTATGAATTGTAAGATTCTCTATATTTAGCATAATATATATAAAAAAATCAACGTCATTTCATACATTAGGTAAATTGTAAATTATGAATTGTGAATTTGGTTTAAATTTGATACGTATCATGTATCTATATATATATATATATATATATAGAGAGAGAGAGAGAGAGAGAGAGCTTACTCTTCAATCTCTCCATAAGATCCAAACAATTTAGACAATTCATCACCGCATCCCAATGCCGGAACGTTCCTCACGATCAAATATCTGTGATGAACACAATTCAATCGTTCAAAAACAACCAAGTTGCAATGGAAAATTCAAATTTATACAACGAATTAGGGTTGCTTTGCCAACAAACAAGATTGATATAGATATAGACTAGATATATAGAGAGAAACAAACTTTGATTCGTCGCAAACTGTATACACTCGAACTGCAGGTGAGTCGTCTCTGTATCGAGACATGTCCGATTGCTGAACTCTCTCTCTCTGTGACATGAAACACATTTGTTATGAGAAGACGAAGGCGCGCAAGTTAGCAAATGCCAGCATGGGCCTCAACTTTGGGTCTTGTTTTGGGCTTGTTAATGTTTGATCACTGTCTAGCTATGGATACAGAACATGGGCCCCTTGGGTTGGGCCCAATATATTTTAGAATGCAAAATTTAATTACGGAACGCGACACAAAATGTGTGATTCTCGACACAAAAAAAAACATTTTAAAAAAAGTATAGAAGTGCAAAAATGACCCGCAATCTGTGGGCAGCCCGAAAACTGCTCACAGTCTGGGGTGGAGCTAGCTCGTTTAGGCCCATTTGGGCCCCGGCCCAGCCTAAGACCTTAGGCCAGGGTCTAGACTATCATTTTGAAGCTCGGCTCAACCTGTGGGCCTGGCCCGCTTAAGGCCCACTTAAGGCCCGGCCTGAGGCCTGGCCCGCGCAGAGACCCAGTGTTTTTTTTAGTGAAAAATAATAAAATTTTGGTGAAAAAAATAAACATAAAAAAATTTGTTTAGACTCACCCAAGCTCGAGCCCAGGCCAGGAGGCCCACCGCCTTGCCCAAGGCCTGAATATCCCCTGGATCTAATTTTTTGGCCTGTGGGCCGGCTCGGCCTGGCTCGAATTTTGGCAAAAGCCCACGAGGTCCAACGTGGCCGGGCCGGGCCAAATTTAGGCCTCGTTTGACAAGTTAACATTTTAGCAAAAAAGTCAAAAAGTTACTAAAAAAGTAAAAAAACCTATAACCTATACCAAAAAGTCAAAGATTCCCTTTTCTCTCTATTTTTTGCACATCTTTTCGTAAAAAGTCAAAAAGTCACCCCAAATATATTAGTTTTTTTTACTTCATATATTAGCCAAAAAGTCAAAAAGTTACTAAAATAACATGTTCCCAAACGAGGCCTTACACCCCTATGTTTTGTGTTTATTTTTGAAGGATTTTGTCAAAATTCCCTCATAATAAAATTTTAATGTATTAAGGAAAATTACAAAAAAAAATTCTTGAAAAGTCGAACAAATATCACTATTATTAAAATATCAAATTTTAAAATAATATAACTTTTAATGTAGATATCAATTTTTTTAAAAATTAATATTTTTAGAATTCTCTCATCAAGGTCTATCAAATGATCCATGTTGACTATGAAATTCTTTTTTTAAAAAAAAGTATTACAGGTGAAATTGATGTAAACAGTAACATGTTACCGTTACCCTGTTTTACAGTAATATGTTACTCTGACAATATTGTCCAAAAGAAAAATATATATATATATATATATATATTATTTTGTCCTTATCCAATTATGTATTTTTTTTCTTAAAGAGTTTATGAAAAAAAAAAATTAAATTGTCATTTTCATCGAACAAAGGTCCAATGGAGGGATTTTCCTTTATTTTTGTGTTTGTAATAGAATTATTGAGGCTAGAATAAAACCTGGGCCAACTCACCCAATAATAAGAAGCATGTGACAATTTTTCAAAAAAATAAAATTAAAATGACCACATAATAAGAAGAACACATAATTCAATCATTCTGTCAAGAAAAAGTCTAGGTGCACAGAAGGTTTGAAAATATCAGTAATGGTAGAGGGTCACAAAAATAGTAGCTCAAATAGCTCAAAACTGTCAAAACTACGTCGTTTTGGGCGCAAAATCTGCCAAAACGACGTCGTTTTGACAGTTTTGAACTATTTGAGCCACTGTTTTTGTGGCCCTCAAACATTTTTCTGAAAATATATATTTGTGCAGTTCCGTTTTGTAGCTCGAATTTCTTCTGGCCCGAGTGGCTTGATTGCCCAAAACGACGTCGTTTTGGGTAGGGTAGTTTTTTTTTTTTTTTTTTTGTCCTTTTCTCTCTGCAGATGAAGAAGGAGGAGGAAGAAAGGAGAGAACTGTGTACAACATATCCTCATCAACAACAACAACAAACAACACCAAATCATCTTGGCATCAACAACATATCATCATCAACAACAAACAACACCACTTTGAAGATCAAAAATCAAACCCAAAAATCTAAAAAATTAAACCCAAAAATCAGAGAGATTCAAACCCAAAAATCAAAAATCAAAATCAACACATCATCATCATTATACACAGATTTGTACCCAAAACGATGGCAACGCCAGTGATGGCGTCGGTGATGGGTGCTCCTCTCTCTTCCCCCCTCTCCCTCTCCCTCTCCCTCTCTCTCTCTCTCTTCCTCTTTCTCTTCTCTCTTCTCCTTCTATTTCAACGATACACGAGGGAAAGAAAGGAAAAAAGAAAAAAAAAATCCTCAAAATGACGTCGGTTTGAGGATTCAAGCCACTCGGGCCAATTTTTTTTCGAGCTAGGAAGGATTATTGATATTTGTGTTATATCTGTGCATTTAATGTGTCATAACTGTGCGTTATGTGTTTCAAACCTTATCTCAATTTACAACCTTTTATCACTACTACTTGTAAACAAAGTAAATGATTTAGACTTGAACCAAACAATGCGACATATTGTATATCATGCATGTAAAATGTTAAGAACCTAAATTTCAAATTCCCAAGAAATCTTAGCTATGAGCTTCCGCATGGTATTGAAAACAATCCATGACTTTATATTGAAAAATAAAATAAAATTGTACAAAAATTTATAAACACTTACAAACTTCATAAAACAATATACTGCAAAGAGAGTATCATGATTGCCAGAACCCTACAAAAAAAATACATAAACAACAATTTTGAGATTCAAAATGTCTGCAAAAACTGATCAAAAAAAAAATTATCTGTAAATTAAACTATCATTACTATGTAAACTAAACTATCATTACTAAACAAAATAACAAACAAAATGGTATAAATTGTTGAATGAATGCAGAAGCGTCTTCATATACAATCAATGTTGATTCATCATAGACTTGACAAGGTCTAAAATGCGGAAATAATCAAAGAACAAAGAAGACTGCTTTCCCTCAAGCCCGTCTCTGCTGACACGGTTGCCCCCAGCAAGGTTATTGCAAGGGCTCCCACCAATCACGAGATCAAACCCACCAAATAACTTAACCCATTGTGCGATGCTATGAGCATCCACATCTTGCACGTCTTCAATGTGAATTAGATTGCCTTTCTGGTTCGTTTGATCCCACCAACTCTGGAGAATGGTTTGACATATCTCTGATTTCTCAACAGAAACTACATTCTTTAGAGGAATCCCAAGCTTGTGCAATGCAACTTCAGCTCCACCAATTCCAGAGAAAAGCGAAAGGACGTTAATGCCAGCAGGGAACAAAGTCCTCAAGACTGAAAGATGGTATCCCACTGTATCAACCTGCAACAAATTCATTTGAGAAAGGAAAGGAAATGAAAGGGGAATGTAATAAAAATTAGTTTATATTTCATTCACACGTGACAAAAATATAATTTCAAGTTTCTATTTCATTTGCTTTTCTTTACCAATATCGGTGGATGGAAAGGAAAAGGAAAAGGAAAGGGAAACGTGAAAAAAAAATAGTTTCTAGTTTCTATATCATTCGCACGTGAAAAAAAAATTATTTCTAGTTTCTATATCATACGCACGTGAAAAAAATTTAGTTTCTAGTTTCTATTTCATTCACTTTTCTCTAGTTACGATCCATGGAGGGAAAGGAAAAGGAAAGGAAACGTAACAAAAGTTCAATTTCTAATATCTGTTTCATTCACTTTTCTCTATCCTTTCCCTCCACAAATCTTGCCTCAAATAGTAATTCAAACACAGTTTAAGGAAAAACCAGTATAGAATATACGATCATGATGCTATTGAGTCAAACCTGAAAAGTGTTGCCAAGCGCTTTGTATCTTTCGGTTCTACTGACTCCCCTCGTGTGGTTTCTTGGAAACCCCATCACTATCTCCATCTCATCAGGTTCAACCGGAGCAACCTTGTTCTTCCCAACCCAAACCAAGTTCCATTTTCTGCACTGTTCAAGCACGTATTTCTGGACGTCTAGAGGAGGTTCTCCGTCTGAATTTTCAACCGCCTTTCGTATCCTCTCGGTGAGTTTTGCACTTCCCACACAAGTCAGAAGGCAATTCAACTTTGATCTTTTGTCCCATTTAGGCCACCATTTTTTGGTTGAAGGAAAAGCTTCATGTATGGTTAGTGGTGGGACTGGAAGAAGTTGGAATCGGTTGTCAATTGGCAAGTTATGAATATATCCTCGTTTTCTGGCAGCAGCACAGAAGAATTTGGAGTCTACGAACTCTGGCTCAATATCATATAAGAAGCGGGAAATTGTGCTCCAAACCCCTTTGGGGGTGAGTGCCACATTTTCGTAATAAAAAAAGGGGGGACCAACAGCTGCCTTTGGAAGTGTTCTACAAAGTATGCGCCATGGCTCACTGGGAACTCCAAATCCTATCATTGGATTTGGAAGATGGCACACCGTGTCGTCTTCTTGATCCATTGGCTTCTTCTCATTTCCCCTTTGCCGTTTACCTTTCCATGCTTCATTGCTCTGAAGTTTCCTCTTGTCTTTCAGAAGCAAAGCATTTTTTGGCTGTCCAAATAATAATAAATAAATAGAAAGAAACAAAGAAAGAAAAAAAAGAAAGAGAGAGAGAGAGAGAGAGAGAAGAACTTGGATTCATTATGAGGATTCATACACTAACCTTTCGATGTGAAGAGAATTCAACGTCTTCACGAGGTAGTTCTCTATGATGAAGAAAATCAGCTTCCTTTGCCATTTGGGCAGCACAGATGAAATCTGAAAGCTCTGCAATTGGGGTACCTAGACCTGCAATTTTAAGTGAAATAGTATTAGGATATGGAGGGGAAAAAATTTATTTTGATACGAATTTAAATATAAAATAAAAAATCTTGATGTGCACGACCATTCTAACCATGATAGTAATTAACTACATTTATATTTTGGTCTAATTATATTTAGCAGAGATGACTGTGAAAAGATGAGTAAAAGAAAAGGCGAATGTTACTTTTGAATGTTTTGAAAAATAAAAATATGGATCCCATTCAAAATCATCAAAAATAGAGCGAACGTCACAAAAAAAAACTTTCCATAATTTAAGCATTGCACAAATCAATACAACATATCAACATGTTGTATATAAGCTAGCACCTCAGAATTAACCACCGTATTGACACACTATTTACAAGCAATTACATATCTTTGTAGAGCTAGATACAAACCACATCTATCAATTGCTGTCAAAACCTCATCGGCTTCGTAACCCATTTCCACTAGAAGTGACACTGTGCCGTCCTTCTCTAATGAATCATTTGTGCTTTCCTGGACAAATAAGTAAATCAAACGAAAACACAATTAATTCAATCACAGAAGACATTACCAAAAACTCTGAAATAATTCTTTGAAAAATGAGTAGCTGCTGTCTTTAGAAATAGTTCACAAGAACTTTCAGGAAATTCCAAAAAATTGAAATGCATGTTGTTGAAACTTAATTTTGACAAATAATTAGACGTGGCACATATACGGACACACAACACGACATCGGCACGATATTGACACGCTATGCCAAAGGTTAGGTGTGCACTCAATCTTTTCCCTCCCAAACACACATTAATGTGTACTAATTGGGCGTTATTTTTTTTTTTATTATATATTAGATATATGAACAATTTATTCGAAGATAATAAAAAAATGTAGCACGACACATTTGTTACATTAAAAAGCTATATATTTCATAAATTAAATAGTAAGATATTATTTACATAGTAATCACATTCTAAACAATGCAAAACAATTATGTGACATTGAATTATACATAATGTATTCATCATATAAATATTTCAAAACATATTTAGAATGCATAAGTTGTGTTATGAATAATGGAAACCATTGTTTTAATGACGGAATTCATCATAATATAGGACGTATTTGGAGGGTTCAAGAAATGTCCGTGAAATGTCACTATTGTGTCCAATGTTATAAATTTGAATTTTTAATCAAGACATGTTGAATGAGTGTCGGACACACTTTTTAGAGTGTCCATAGAGTGTCATGTCGGACATGGCACACTTCCTCCGTAGAAGTGTCCGTGTAAGAGTGAGTGAAAGCCAACTCTGGTCCCATAAAAGGAAAAAATGAGAATTGGGCTTCTCTTGCTGATCCCATAAAAGGCCATATTGCCCATTGAGGTTCTTGGTAATTGGTTGTTATCATGTTTCTCTTGCTTTCATCTTCTTCAGTTAGTGCATCAAATTGTATCTGTTTTTCTTTCCTTTGTCCATAAATAGTTCGTCATTGTTCCCATTAAATGTCATTATAGTTCCACGTAAGCTGTTAATAGTTTTTCTGGGCCTCTTACCAAGAAAAGGAAAAGAAAGAAATAGTTTTCACATGTGCTGCAAATATAAGTCAAACAACAGGTAAAGTTGGTAAAGAAGTGTACATGATAAATGAACATGGTAAAAGCATTTAGGCAAAACGCCACAGTAAATTATGGGATTTTTTTTTTTTTTTTTGAAATAATAAAGAAAATACCTCATCTTCAGGGAAGCTATCCTCGCCTGAGAGGTCATCCAGGCCATTTCTTTCAGAATTGGAAATGCTTGGATCATCAGAAATGCGTTCCTCTTCCTGGGGGAGGTTCTCAACAACCTGCAACACTCAAAACTATTTGAGTAAAGAAGAATAAATTTTTTCAACAGAAGGCATTAAAATGTAATTTGCTTATCATTTGTCTAGTGCACATGCTATTGGAATTCGAGTTTGAGAATGAATTGGACAAGTTGGTGTGGTTTGCGATAACCAATAATCTAAAAGCAGTCCATCAAGATGATAATCAAGCACAAAGCTGACATTTGGAAAAATTACTTCCATATGCAAAATGTAATGTGGATTCCATGAAATGCCATCATAGTGCAATCGATAATATGTGAACTCCCGGGAAAAAAATACTTCAACTGTAGTCATTGCTATTGACACATTTTTCCTGCTTGAGAAAATAACATATTGCTTGTGTACTGAGGCATTGATCGAATATCTCTGAAAGCTATTGCAATGAACTTCCATCATTTGTCTAGAAATTGAATATTAATAATCATAAATGAACCAATATTAGTTAGCTTCTCTTTTTGTCTTTTTGTCTTTTTTGATAGAACCACAACAGTTTAAAAGTGCAAACCAAGTCCCACTTCTCACACAACCGTGCCATTGCAGTCTATTCTGTAATTTCTTTTCACATACAATTAAGGATGATTCCACAGAAAAGGGAAACAAATGGCTGAGATTCCTAGAAAAAGTGCTTGTCATGCATTCCTATGATGAAACAAGAAAGCACAAGAACATAGGTAGGCTATAGAATTAACTTAAAATAAAACAAATGGTAATTGAGAAAAAGGAAAGAGTTACCCACCGAGTATGTGAGAAGAGCTTCCAGTATTGCTTCTATATTATTTTCACCTACAAAGTATTGGAACAAATACGAGTTCAACTTGCAAATCACAAGGCAAAAATACAAGAGTAATGTTATTTGAGTGCTAATTTACCATTTTCTTTCATTGCTCTAACTATCATATCCTTAGAAAATCCCATTCCCAGAAAGTGATGGATCACCCTGGAGCTCGAAGAACCATTAGAAGAACTTGCCTGGATACAGAAAACGGACAGTTATAGCAAGTTTAAGTCAAAAATTAGGCCCTGGTTATCAGTGCCATTTACCGTAAAATATATGTAAGACAGAGCAAAAAACAAATGGAGCAAAAAATTAGGCCCTGGTTATCAGTGCCAACCATTTCTCTAGCCAATATTTTTTCTTCCTTCTCAAAACAAAATTGTGTATTATAATTTATATGCAATTTAGTGCTCTATTGAATTAACCATTATGTATAGTCCTATTTAAAAAGTAATAATTTTAAATCATGAAGAATTATATATGACTCGTAAGTTGACAAAAATTACATTAAAATGACACCTTGGACATATATATATATATAGATAGATAGATAGATAGATAGATAGAAGCAGAAACAGACACAAAATCACCAACTTCCAGATGATAGTGTGGTTCATATTTTATATTCTATTCTTTTGGAAAATAATAAAAATATAAAAAACATCTTTGAACAAGGTCTAGATTTACCTCCCCAGAGCCTGAGAAAACTTCTTGACCAGGAATTGCCGAACCCAAACTAGAAGAATAGGGGATGCTCTCAATCTCAAGCTCATCTTCAGTGTCCCAATCAATACTGAGGCTGTCTTTGCTATCCGTATTACCATCCTATACACAAAATTAAGACATCAAATATGCATCAGGGGGAGGGGGTTAAAAATATAATGTCATCCTTTTTGGCATTTCCAAGTAAACCCAACATATCTACGCCTTTGGTAGTAGAAAAAACTAATACCTAATGATCCACATTTTGGAACATACCTTCCAAAATGGTTCTCATCCAAACAGTTTACCTATTTACTTCCCATGAAAAATATAAACATCAAGTACAATGAATCAAAATCTAGGAGTAGGGTTTTGGCAAGAGAAGATCCAAAAAGAGGTCATAATGCATCAATAGCTTAATTTATACAGAAGGTGCAAAGAAATTTGAATTTACTGGATTAATTTGAATATAAGAATACTTAGAATGTAAAATATAAGAAAGGCACTACAATAGATTTATGTATCTTTAAATGTCAAATTCTTCAAACTAATCACTCTCACATTTTAGAGTACCTTGAGATATGCCAATAATGTAGTCTTATATAAGCCTACCCTTGTTATACCACATTCTAAAGAAATAAGACTATGCTTGTTGCTAAAGACTATACCCAAATTGAAGGGATAGACTTTGATGAGAAATTGCCTCTGTGGTGAGACTTGAATCCATACAGTTGTGTTGCCATAGCTTGTAGTTTGGGATTCAAGCTTTATCAAATGGATGTAAAGAGGACATTTCTCGATGGCATGCATCATGAAGTGTATGCAGAAAACGAACTTGTATGAGTATAAGTTTGAAGCTTAGCAAAGATAATAAAGGCAAAAGCATTAATCCAAAATTGTTTAGGTACTAACTAGCAAGACCTTATCCAACAAAGCATAAATTAAGTAATCCTCCTTTCTCTGGGGTGGTAATGACTTGAAAAAGAAAATTCACATGGTTAAATGGAATGAGGTAACAAAGGGTGTGGATATGGGTGGGCTAGGCATTAGAGATCTGAGAGTGGTGAATAAGTGCCTTCTTGTGAAATGGTGGTGGAAGTTTGGAAGTGTGGACAAAGCCCTACGGAAAGAGGTCATCCGCAGCAAATATCAGTACTTGGGTAGCAATTGGCTGCCTCCTCTAAGTGACCATCTCAGGGGTTCTAGAGTTTGGCTGGACATTCTGTCAGATGCTTCGTCTGCTCCAGATCTGATTCATTTTCTAGAAGGCAACATCACAATTCATATTGGCAATGGCCTCAGAAGCTTGTTTTGGTCTGCTAATTGGTTTGGGGAAGACTGCTTCAAGAACCTCTTTCCCAGATTGTACCAGCTTTCATTGGATAAGAATGGAAGTGTGTTTGATTTTTATCTCAGAAGTTCTCCTTCTTCAGCTAGGTGGGACCTGGCCTTTAGGAGGGAACTGATATCATGGGAATTGGATCAATTTGCTCTGCTTTCTGATCTGCTGGATCAGTCACCTGTGTTAAGATTTGATGTCAATAACAGGTTGCTTTGGAATGGCCAGTCATCAGGTCAGTTCTCAGTTAACTCTGTTTTTAATTGGTTTGAACTGCAAAATGGTGCCATCAATAAGGTTCACCCTATTATCTGGAAGAATATTGCCCCCTATAAGGCCCAATTCTTGGATGGCTAGCTTGGGAAAATAGGCTAAAAACATCTGTTTTTCTTCAAAGAGTGGGAGTTTTGGATCAGACCACCAACATCTCGTGTTTTTTGTGAGTCTGAGGATGAAACTGCCTTGCATGTGATGCTGCACTGCCCCTTTGTATGGAGAATTTGGTTTGATTTGATGTCATGGTGGGGAGTTCAGTGGGTTATTCCTAGATCTATTGATTTGCTGCTGAAGTAGTGGTGTGGATTCAACTTCAAACAGATCCATGAGAAGATGTGGAAGGCAGTACCATGTGCTGTTATGTGGTCTGTGTGGAAGGCAAGGAATGATCTCAGGTTCCAAGGTACCTCTGTGACCAAAGAGGATTTGGTGGATTTGGAGAAGTTAAGGCTAACTTTGTGGGCTAAATACAAGTGGCAGAAGCTGGATTACTCAGTTCATGATCTAGTCCATAATTTCAAGTCTACTAGGGGCTAGATCTTGGTGCTGCTGTGTTTTGTTCTGTTTCTATGCTTTGTTTTTGGATTCTATTATGGTTGATCTCTCTTTAACCATTGTATTGTGCTGCATATGATTGTGCAAATTCTTCAGTGCCAGCTTAGTTGGGATCAAAGCTATTTGCTATGATGCTTATAGCATGATTCTTGTTTTGTTTACTTATCATTTTCCTTTATTGATGTATGATGGTTCATTCTTGATTCCTTTTCAATAAAGGTTTCTTTTGCAGATAAAAATAAAAAATAAAAACACAACTCTTGAACAAACATTGCCATAGGAAAAAATTTGGTAATTAAGGTTTGACTCAATTTCTCCTACGTTGGACCCGAATTTATCTTCACCTTAGCCTTCAAAAATGTATAAACATTTGTTTTCCCATTGTGAATTACAACCTTCCTAATAATATATGGCATTAGCGATGAAGCCACTAAGAGACTAGGAGGGGCACGTGCCCCTCCTCAACTTTTATGTTGTGTTCGGTTGGGGGATTTGGGGAGAGATTTGGAAAGGAAAATGAAAAAGGTAGGTGAAATGTGAATAAAATATACTTATATTTCACCTAGTTTCACACACTTTTTCCCTTTCATTTGCCAAATCCCTCCCCAAATCCCCTAACCAAACACAGTATTAGGAAATTACATTTTATGCTAAGGTTTTGAAAATGTTTTCAATTTTTTTTCCCTCTAAAATTATATATATACCCTTTGTTTTTCTCATTCTTTTTCCAACAAACTCAACACACCATTAATTAAAACATGGACATAGATTGACTCCTTTAATTCACAAATGAATCTAAGAAAACATTTCCTTTTATTATGTGTATTTAATTGACATTCCTTTTTTCAAATTTAAATTACTTGACAGTTCTATAGATTAAGACTGTTTTATTGTAGTCATAATTTTTTTACCAAACTAAACTTTGTGTTTCAAACCAACCTAACCCAATAATTTGTCTCAGTATTTGCCCCCTCTCAAGTCTCAACTAAAATCTTGGCTCTGTGTCCAGGTGCGCCCATCCAAGGGTCGCCACCTTGATGACACACTCATTTGTGCCCTTTGGAGAGCCAAAATCATGCCCAAGAAGTTGTTGGAGCAAGTGCAAGACAAGACCCAAGGCATGGTGCAAGACAGCCCACGGCATGCCATGAAGCAGCCCATGCAAATAGCTAACAGTAGCTGTAGCAGCAGCCAGCAGCCAGCAGCAGTGGCAGCAGCCAGGCCACAGCAGTGCCAGCAGGCCAGCAGCAGCTTGCAGCCTTGCCAGCCAACAACCCCGCAGCAGGCCGTGGCCCCAGCCACAGCAGGCCACAGCCTTGCCAGTCCAGCAGCAGCTTTGAAGCACATTTTAGAGGGTCAAATGTAGTACTTTTGTCTTATAAATTTTTATGTAAATACCTTAGTATTAAAGGTGTTTTGGGACCAAGTATTGTAATTTTTCTCTTTTTGTAGAATTTTAAAAATCCATTATGACTTCCTCAAACATAGTGGATGTTTCCTCTTGCTAGCTAGGAAAAGACTTAACAAGCTATATTAAGGAGGGGGTACCCAAGTGTTCAACCAAACCATTTGTCTTTAAAGTTCCCCAACCTAGCCAATGGTAAAGCAACTCTTGTAGCATTTTTGGTGCATTGTTCAACTATTGTAATGCCTACTTTTGATCAATGAAAAGTTCATTTAGCCTTTAAATTTTGCAAAGCTTTTCCATTGTTGCTTGCTTTAATTTTAGCTTGTTGGTTGCTATTTTGTGGCTTGTCTCCAATCTTGTGGCTCATCAACTTAACTAATATTGTGTTTGCTCATCTTCACAAACCTTTTGAGCTTTATTGGCGGGCTAGTGAAGAGAGTTAACTAGCGCCACACACACTTGCATGACTTTGACAAGGCTTCCGCATTGCCGGTGTGTGACAGTTGGTATCAGAGCCAAGTCCATTTGGCTTTCTCTATTCCTGGCTTTCTAAATGGATGCTCCTGGCAACCGTCAACCAACGCAAAGGGAGAGAATTGAGCTCTTGGAGCAACATATGGACCACATGGATGTCATGGCAGCTTCATTGGCCAACCTTGAGCAACGGTTTCATGATCTTGAGCAAACTCATGGCCCTACTCAAGGCCAAGATTTTGAGGATATTGTCACTGAACTCAGGCTAGAGATTGAAGACCTTGGTGGCCGGGTTGGTGTTCTTACCCGTGCCTTTGGCAACGCACCTGGTGGTGGCATGGAATTCACTAGGGTGCGTGTGCTTGAGCCCCATGCCTACGGTGGCGCCCGAGATGCTAAAGAGTTAGGCAACTTTCTCCTTGCTATGGAGCAATATTTCAAAGCTGTGAAAACCGATGCTGAGGAGACAAGGATTTTTATGGCCACAATGTATTTGTCCAGTACTATAAGAATTGGAGCTTAAGTTCATGCTTAAAAATCCTTCCCCGAAAATGTTGAGTAAAATGCCCGGCGTGCTTTGCGAGATCTCAAGCACACCGGTACTATAAGAGATTATGTGAAACAATTCTCTGGGCTTATGCTAGACATCAAAGACATGTCAGAGAAAGACAAGCTCTTCTTCTTCCTTGAGGGATTGAAGCCATGGGCCAAAGTTGAACTTCAAAGGCAAAGAGTGCAAGACTTAGCTCATGCACAAGCAGTAGTTGAGTGCCTTACGGACTACACTGAACCTAAGCAATGGGACAGTGGTTCCCCGCGTAAGAGTAGGGGAGGTGGAAAGTCCCAAGGCCATGGAAAACCTAAGAGTGGGGAAGCCAACACTTCTACATCCAAAACCCATTCGGGTGGAGGACAATGGCAACAGAAGAGCCATGGTGACAAGGCAAAAGGCCCTCAACAATTCTCTACAAGCAAAGCAAAAGGCCCTATCTCTTGTTTCTTATGCGATGGGCCACATCGGTTATCTAAATGTCCACAAAAGCGTGCCTTGAATGCTCTTGCAGCAATGTCTGACCATGTCTCTCAACCAAGTGACGATGATAGCAAAGAAGAGGACGTGTAATCTAAGCAAAGTGGCAAGGGTTCTAAGGCAGCTGGCTCTAGAGTGAGAGCCGTTCATATAATGAATGCCATGGAGAAGAAGGCTTCTACAAGGAGGCCTAAGAAGAATGCCAAGAGTGGCAAAGTGGGCAAGCATTCAGATTGTAAACAACTTGTGGAGTCCAAAGATGAAGGCAAAGAAAAGAAACCCATGTATAGTGGGGAATCATCAGGCAAGTTGAACAAGAGCAAGTCATCCAACAAAGGTTTGATGTTTATGGATGTAAAGCTCAATGGGAAGCCCCTTTGTGCTTTGATTGACACTGGGGCCACCCACAATTTTGTTGCTGGGACCGAAGTTGAAAGACTTGGGCTATCTTTAGAGAAGGATGGCAACTGCATCAAGGCAGTTAACTCGGCAGCGCAGCCCATCTATGGGGTTGCAAAATCTGTTCATTTGAAGGTCATCACTTGGAAAGGAATAGTAGATTTCACCGCAGTATCCATGGATGACTTCCAAGCCATCCTTGGGTTGGATTTCTTGAGAAGCACAAAGACAACAGTCATGCCTTATTCTAATAGTATGTGTGTTATGGGGGATAAGCAATGTCTTATTCCTGCTATGGCCACCAACAACATTGACCGGTTTGTCT